CACTTATTTCAAATAATTATCTATAATAATGTTTTACAAAACTGTCTTACACATTTAGATGTGTTAGATTTTAGTTATTCTGTCTCTTGTTTTTTTTTCCCCCCACTGGAAGTCTGTAAGCAGAAAGAAAAAGCTGAAATGCAAAACTGAATGGATGACCTTGAAGAATAAAAATAGACCTTACTTTCCAAGTGATGTTGCATAAATATATAATTTAAATCATTTTTTAGCAAAACCTGTGATAGTGATTTCCACCTTCACAATGTGGTCAACAAAGTTAATGACACTGCCTTTAGTGAATGTACATGTTGGAGGCTTTATACACTGAAAAATAATATAGCAAGGAAGAGTAATTAAGCTTGTTGCCTTAAAATGTTTAGTTTATTTAACTTCTCGTAAGGTAACAGTACTAAGTAATATGTTTTACCTTCTGTTTACTTGTTATTCAACAAACTCAACATTTTATGGCCACCAGGTTATTTACCATGTCACGTGTTCCATGACTTTTATTTTAGTGATGTTTGCTTTCAGATTTGTAGTTGTGCATCAGTCCTCCACCAAAGGCCCGTGTTCAGTGTCCGCAACCTATAACACCCTAACAATTATCGTATCATTTGCAAATTTAAGTATATTCTGCTGATTCTGACTCTTCCAATCATTTGTGGAAAGGATGTACAAGAGAGGAGACAGAACACAACCCTTAGGTAAGCCAGAAGAGAAACAGAAGAAAAGTCGATTATTTATGCGCTGTAAAATGGCTACTGGTATGCAACCTGTGCAGCTGATATTGAGGCTAGGCTGGTAGCTACTGGGCACTGGAAGTCCTGCCAGTTATACATAAACTTACTCAGTTTGTAATAGGTCAGACGGCACCTCCAGAGCTTCTGATTGAAAAGCCATCTTTGGTAGAAGACCATGAGCAACTCCATGCCTCTTTCACAAGTATTTGGTTTTAAAATGATCAAGGCCAGGGCATTGGCTGGGCATGTAAAGATCCGGGACTCATCTCAGTTGACAGTAGAATTGTTTTGGGATATTTTCTCCCAGATTTTTTGCACTGGTTTTAGGGTTATTTTTTAAGGACATTGTAAAGTGTGTTAAGTTTATCTTAAAAAGATATACCATTGTTATGTATATCCAGTTTCAGGATCAGGTGCGTCCCTGAATAAAATCATGTATGAAGAGAAGGTCTGGGGCTTAGTTAAAAATGTTCAGGGCTATAGCCCTAGAAGCCCAGGTCAAGAGATATCCCTGCGTCAAGGTACTGAATTCCTTTCTGCAGTGTTTCAGTTCTGGCCTTTTTCTCAGTCCTATGGCAATGCTTGTCCTATCTTTTGCCATTGAACATTTAATGGCTATACTTCTTCCTCCATTCCGGTCTTTGCTTCTCCGCCTGGTTGCACCTTTTCTGTTATTATTTGAGCTCAGATTTCAGTAAATAGCCAAGCTTTTTTTCTTCCTTTGTAGCTGCGGTTGCCATCTCTTCTATTCACGCTCAGTGATTGCAGGTAGGTCACCAACAGCCACACAACTCACCCTGACGGTAGGTGTAAACACTGCACTACTGCCCCAATTCAGCACAAAATAGCACTAATTAGGCCCAAATGACACTGCTGCACATCTTAACGTCTGCGGCAACAACGATTTACAACTGCAAAGTGTTTCTTATTGTAGCCAGTAGTGGGATGATACCAAGCTCCCCCCTTGCCAGGAGTTCTCCTGGTGACTTGGAAAATCCAAGCAAAGTTTGAGTCCTTCGGTACACGGGCATGCTGCCACCCTCCCCCAAAGGCTCTCTGAGCAGGAGTTACAGAATGTCCACTGTCCGTGTAAACACTCACCATGGACATGTGCTCACAGCCACATGCATAGCCAGCCCTCCCTTGGGGTTGTGTCTTGTTCCCCAGGGACAGCAGCAGTGGCCCTCCCGCTGGAGACTTACAGCTTTTTCTGCCACACACTGCACCACAGACACCAGCAACGCTGCTACTTCTGTTTGTTAGAGCTCCAGCCCTTGGACTTGACTAACCATCCTGCCAGTGCCTACTCAAAATGTCTCTGGAGGGCCGCAGCAAATGCCACCAGGCCTACAGGTTCTCGCATCCAGCTGCTGTCCTCCAGCTGAGCCCTGCTGTCAAGCCTAGTCATGCTGACTTGACCGGTGTCCTCTCAGTCTGTCCTCGCCAAGCTGCCTCTCTCTCTCAGTCCTTGGCTGGGCTCTGTCTTCTCTGCCGTATCACCTATGAGTTTGCCATTCCGCTCCAATCAGCAAGTTGGCGATCTTTTTTACATAGTGATGTAAAAGAATCATCACAAGTTATTGCAAATCTTGATTGCAGTTGTTACTGCCAAGGGTGGCACAACCAGTTATTAGGTTTAGGGAGACAATTGCTTTTTCACGTTTGATATAGGTTTGGAATAAATATTTATCTTCAATAAATGCAATGATTATTTAAAATCCGTATTTTGTGTTAACTTGTGTTGTCTTGATATTATATAAAATTAGTTGGATGACCTGAAACATTTAAATGTGACAAATTAGGAAAAATAGAAGAGACCGGTGAGGAGCAAATACTTTTTCACAGCACTGTTCTGTGGTCATATATGTAATGTCAGATTAAATTAGACAACACAAGTCATTTCAAAAACAGCAAAAAACCCACACATATTATACATACAATTAGATAAGATGTCATTATATTGGCCTTACAAAGGGATATAAAAACCACTGAAAGTCCTCAAATCCTTGGGCAATGTGCCTACAACTTATTTAAATATCCAATCGCTGACGGAACAAATGGCCTCAGGTATCCATTTGACTTGGCCCTTCTAGGGAAAATGTACCTCCGTCCTGATGACAGGAGACAAAAGTGGGCATGAAAAGGGTGACGAGTGTCCGCCAGAATGGACTCTGCTCTTTTCATGGCTCTAACTTGATAAAGATGGCTAAGATCATTTAAGCTAATGCCAATAAGTTTCTGGCTAAAATTAATGATAGATTTTTTTCCATAGCATTGTAACATTACCCTGTGATAAGGAGAGCTGAAAATAAATGCAGAAATGCCACACAAAAACAAGGCAGTTTTGAAGCAGTCGGCCACTGATACAATCAGGCTGTTGACTTTGCCTCACATTTGTCTGTTCAAGAGTTTTCCAGGAGTCCATTTCATCAACCTAATTCTGACTGCCCTCTGAAACAACTCTAAATTTGGACAATTCCTTAATGAAATCAAAGGAATCAAACCTCAAGTAAAACTGATTTAACTCTTCTGCCAGATGGAATCAGACTCATCAGGGTCCAAATACCATTCTTGTCTTGAATTCCCACTGTAGCTTTAATTCCCCTCTAAGCACAGCAGGAATTACCATTCCTAGGTTTATCTCCTACTTTGTCTTTAAGCAGCATTTTGGCATTTTAATGAACTTTTTCACTAATTTTTGAGCAACTCTTTGTTGGCGAATGGCACCGTGATGGAAAGTTATGTTTTCTGATTGAGAGAATTTTTGAGGGGTATACTGACCCAGGGCATATTGTTTGGCTACAATTTAATCACCTTCTGGGAATATTCACAAAAAGTAATACAACTTGATGCAGTGAAAGTCAATTAATCTAAATCAGTACAAAACTTTTAAAAAAAATCCCAATTGGTACTATGAAAACAGCCATTCAGCTGAAGCATAGCATTCTTGGTCCATGTAGTTGTGCTCAACTTTGCATCTTTTGGTCATTTGCCAAAATTGCAGTTACAGTACACACTTGCACAATTGCATTACATAAAACAGATATGGTCAGAGAAGTTTGCTTGCATCTCATCCAGTTTATTCCTGAATGACTGTACATTACTGAAGATAATGGAGGGAAGTGGCAAGTGGTGCAGCCCATGTCTATGTAGCCCCTGTTGTACTCTTTTCCAGCTGTGCTTCCTCACTTGTACCACTGTCTGCTGCTTACCTTCTTTCCAGGAAGGCTTCTGCAGTTGACTACACGTGACAAGGCATGTATTTTTACCAAATGATTCCAGGAACATGACAGCAAGGTTTCGTTGCATAGAAAAATAGAGCTTCAAGTGAAGATAAAGTGTATAAAGTAAATTTAACTGAAATATACAACTGAAAAACATTTGGTAAATTATGTTGCCTTGCTAGACACCAGGCCAGGGCCAGTTTAGAACCTTTTCTTTTAGAGAATGTACAGTAAATGCAGACAGCTTTATTCCGGTTCAGTTGATAGGTCTACCCAGGGCTGTTTCTGGAATAACAGTCGCTTAGGGCCCCTGAGCCACCAGGGGGCCACAATTGTTTTATTTAACATTGTTTAAAAAAAGCACAGTGAGTGATCAAAATTGGTTAACTATTAACTATTTTGGCTGGTGTTACTGAATGTTGCAGTTGTCACTGAAAGTCGACTTGCTGTTTCTAGTGTAATAACGTTGCAATGTGCATACGTGTTTAATTTATGTACAATTCCTTTCCCATTTCCTGTTTTCTTGGCTTGGTTATATTTCCAGAGTGCAGTAATGAGAGTTGGAAAGTTCTTATGTAATAATATCAGTTTAACAGCTTATATTATGTATGTGTCAACTTTGATTTGTATTTGGTAACTACCACATAGACTATCAAGGGATCAGGAAATAGGAGTGATTTAGCAGAAGGGCGTTCCTGATGCAGGTCTATCAGCTTATAAATGAAAGTTGCTCTTTTGTCAGAGCTGGCTTTACCCCCCCCCCGTACAAGCATTGGTAAGGCTGGCTACGGAAGTCATTAAACATAGATGGAAAAAAAAGATAAACTACTGTAATATTGTGCTTGTTTTTAATCTATGCTTAATCATTTCAGGGTTACCTAGCATTCATATACTATTCATGCATGATAAGCTTTTTACTATTTTTAATGTATCTCAAACTATTGAGAAATACCTCTGAAATGATAGTTTTATTCTTTCATGCAATTTGAAGTGAATCCTTTTCAGGAATGTTAAATTATTTACTGCCATGAATAATTAATTTAGAAAGCACTTCTTAAGTACTTGTTAAAGGCATATTTCTTTACAGATAAAGGAAAATAAGCATAATGGACATGAGCATAAGTCAAAATTTGAGCATAAGAAACATTTCTTTTTGTTATGAACATCATCCTAACTCCTGTCAGAAGTTCATCTATCCACAGGCCATGCGTGTTATTATATATTTTGTCCTTAGTGTCATGGTACTTCTCACATTATTTGGAAATCTTCTGGTGATCATATCCATAACTCATTTCAAGCAGCTACACACCCCAACTAACTACCTCACTCTCTCTCTGGCTGTACTTGACCTGCTTGTAGGATTGGTTGTAATGCCTGCCAGCATGATACGCTCTGTGGAGACTTGCTGGTATTTGGGGAGTATATTCTGCAAAATACACAGCAGCTTTGCCATTATACTGTGCACTGCATCTTTGTTAAATCTTGTATTCATCTCTGTTGAGCGATATTATGCAGTCTGCCACCCCCTGCAGTACCACAGTAAAATGACTCCTCTTACTACTTTATGTATGATTGCCGTCTGTTGGGGTCTTGCTATTGTTGATGGAATTATATATCCAGAGTTAAATGACACAGGTGCAGAAGCTTACAGTGATGTTTTATGTGAGGGAGCCTGTGTGGTGGTTATAGGATTCATGACAAGTTTAATAATTACTGTGACCTTGTTGTACATACCTACCATTATCATGCTCAGCATATATGTGAAAATATATCTTGTTGCACGGAGGCAATCACGATTAGTCCGCAATGCTCTCTCTCATGTAAATAAATCCAGAGGGCAGCCCTCTGTTAATAAGACAGATAGTAAAGCAACTAAAACATTAGCCATTGTCACAGGAGGTTTTCTGTCATTTTGGGCACCATTTTCTATCTATAATCTCATTGTGACATTTTTTGGTTTAAGTGGTTCACCACAACTGTTTGATTTGCTTTGTTGGGTTGCTTTGTCAAATTCAGCTTGTAATCCTATTATATATGCATTGGTCTACAAGTGGTTTAGAAAGGCACTCAAAGTTATTTTATTAGGTGAAATATTTAGGAAAAACTCTTCCAGAATACAGCTGTGTTCAGAGTAGTATGATGAAATAAAGCCCTATACACAAAAAAATACAATATTATACAGTGTTTTATGTATTTATGTGATTGTTTTAATAGCTGATATTGGTGCTTTCCTGCTGTATCTCACCAGTTTCAGCTAAAGGTCTTGATTAATAGCTAATGGTGTGGATGAAAACATGCATGATTATGGAGCTGGAGCTGGATAACTCTGCTTTACAGTATCACCTTTCAGAATCAAAGTTACAACATAAATGTATTAAATGAATCTGACTGTCATACAAACCCAATACGGGTACGGTCCATACAAAACTTTATTAACCCCTGGTTTTGTTAATTCTGTGAAGAGTAAACAATTTAATATGGCCTTGTTATTCAATTATAGGCCGCATTTTATGTTCTATTTTGAAATTTAGCTAATACATGATAATGTTATTTTGCATTAAATTGTGCAGAAGTATGTTCCCTGTAAAGGGAAGACTACTATTTATTTAGAAAATCTACAAAACATGTCATTTGAGTATGGAGCCAAACTTCTGCATATGACTATCTGTTTATTAATGTTTTAGTGCTAATAAGTCACATACAGAATTCATCATTCGATCCCTGTATGAATTAGGAAGGAACAAACAAACCTGTTATACCAGGCCTTTCCTGAAAATGAGTCCAGAGTACATCACAAGTGTTTTGGATAAGTGTGAAAAATGGCCTTTAATTACTGTTTGGTACAATAATTTACCAAAAGTTAATTGTGTTTGCTTTATCCTTTGACCCAGTTCCACTTGAATTATCCACTGACACTAACCCCCAGACAGTCCTGGAGAACTAATCACATTTCTCACACAGACTCATAGCCTGACTTCCACCAAAATCAGACAAAAAGGTGGTGAATTAGTGATCAACAAGTTTTAATTCATGGTTTGTTATCCATCAAGTAAAGTAAAAGGGATTAGGAGCGATTTAGCAGAACAACGTTCGTTAGTATGTTTGTATGCCTATAAATGAAAGCTGCTCATATGTCAGTGCTGCCTTTGCCCACCCATCTGTGTAGGCCGAAGCAAAGCTGGAAACAAAGCATTATGATTTGTTTTGATCTATTCTAAATTATAGCATGGTTACAAAGTACTGTTGTATGTTAAACCATTTATGATTTTGAATTTATCTAAAACATATAACATTTAGAATAGATTTTTCACAGTGCCATTAAGAGTATAAAAGTAGTTTCATGCTATTTAAAGCCAATCATTCAGAGAATGTTTATTTTCATTATTGTCATGAATTATTGTTATTTCTGTTATATTACTTATTATATTATTATATATATTATTATTATGAACTTGTTTTTCAGAAAAAAGGAAAAGCACACCAGATATTACTGTTACAAAATAGCCTATTTAAGTTAAAAAATAAAAAAATTGAAAGCACTTATTTCAAATAATTATCTATAATAATGTTTTACAAAACTGTCTTACACATTTAGATGTGTTAGATTTTAGTTATTCTGTCTCTTGTTTTTTTTTCCCCCCACTGGAAGTCTGTAAGCAGAAAGAAAAAGCTGAAATGCAAAACTGAATGGATGACCTTGAAGAATAAAAATAGACCTTACTTTCCAAGTGATGTTGCATAAATATATAATTTAAATCATTTTTTAGCAAAACCTGTGATAGTGATTTCCACCTTCACAATGTGGTCAACAAAGTTAATGACACTGCCTTTAGTGAATGTACATGTTGGAGGCTTTATACACTGAAAAATAATATAGCAAGGAAGAGTAATTAAGCTTGTTGCCTTAAAATGTTTAGTTTATTTAACTTCTCGTAAGGTAACAGTACTAAGTAATATGTTTTACCTTCTGTTTACTTGTTATTCAACAAACTCAACATTTTATGGCCACCAGGTTATTTACCATGTCACGTGTTCCATGACTTTTATTTTAGTGATGTTTGCTTTCAGATTTGTAGTTGTGCATCAGTCCTCCACCAAAGGCCCGTGTTCAGTGTCCGCAACCTATAACACCCTAACAATTATCGTATCATTTGCAAATTTAAGTATATTCTGCTGATTCTGACTCTTCCAATCATTTGTGGAAAGGATGTACAAGAGAGGAGACAGAACACAACCCTTAGGTAAGCCAGAAGAGAAACAGAAGAAAAGTCGATTATTTATGCGCTGTAAAATGGCTACTGGTATGCAACCTGTGCAGCTGATATTGAGGCTAGGCTGGTAGCTACTGGGCACTGGAAGTCCTGCCAGTTATACATAAACTTACTCAGTTTGTAATAGGTCAGACGGCACCTCCAGAGCTTCTGATTGAAAAGCCATCTTTGGTAGAAGACCATGAGCAACTCCATGCCTCTTTCACAAGTATTTGGTTTTAAAATGATCAAGGCCAGGGCATTGGCTGGGCATGTAAAGATCCGGGACTCATCTCAGTTGACAGTAGAATTGTTTTGGGATATTTTCTCCCAGATTTTTTGCACTGGTTTTAGGGTTATTTTTTAAGGACATTGTAAAGTGTGTTAAGTTTATCTTAAAAAGATATACCATTGTTATGTATATCCAGTTTCAGGATCAGGTGCGTCCCTGAATAAAATCATGTATGAAGAGAAGGTCTGGGGCTTAGTTAAAAATGTTCAGGGCTATAGCCCTAGAAGCCCAGGTCAAGAGATATCCCTGCGTCAAGGTACTGAATTCCTTTCTGCAGTGTTTCAGTTCTGGCCTTTTTCTCAGTCCTATGGCAATGCTTGTCCTATCTTTTGCCATTGAACATTTAATGGCTATACTTCTTCCTCCATTCCGGTCTTTGCTTCTCCGCCTGGTTGCACCTTTTCTGTTATTATTTGAGCTCAGATTTCAGTAAATAGCCAAGCTTTTTTTCTTCCTTTGTAGCTGCGGTTGCCATCTCTTCTATTCACGCTCAGTGATTGCAGGTAGGTCACCAACAGCCACACAACTCACCCTGACGGTAGGTGTAAACACTGCACTACTGCCCCAATTCAGCACAAAATAGCACTAATTAGGCCCAAATGACACTGCTGCACATCTTAACGTCTGCGGCAACAACGATTTACAACTGCAAAGTGTTTCTTATTGTAGCCAGTAGTGGGATGATACCAAGCTCCCCCCTTGCCAGGAGTTCTCCTGGTGACTTGGAAAATCCAAGCAAAGTTTGAGTCCTTCGGTACACGGGCATGCTGCCACCCTCCCCCAAAGGCTCTCTGAGCAGGAGTTACAGAATGTCCACTGTCCGTGTAAACACTCACCATGGACATGTGCTCACAGCCACATGCATAGCCAGCCCTCCCTTGGGGTTGTGTCTTGTTCCCCAGGGACAGCAGCAGTGGCCCTCCCGCTGGAGACTTACAGCTTTTTCTGCCACACACTGCACCACAGACACCAGCAACGCTGCTACTTCTGTTTGTTAGAGCTCCAGCCCTTGGACTTGACTAACCATCCTGCCAGTGCCTACTCAAAATGTCTCTGGAGGGCCGCAGCAAATGCCACCAGGCCTACAGGTTCTCGCATCCAGCTGCTGTCCTCCAGCTGAGCCCTGCTGTCAAGCCTAGTCATGCTGACTTGACCGGTGTCCTCTCAGTCTGTCCTCGCCAAGCTGCCTCTCTCTCTCAGTCCTTGGCTGGGCTCTGTCTTCTCTGCCGTATCACCTATGAGTTTGCCATTCCGCTCCAATCAGCAAGTTGGCGATCTTTTTTACATAGTGATGTAAAAGAATCATCACAAGTTATTGCAAATCTTGATTGCAGTTGTTACTGCCAAGGGTGGCACAACCAGTTATTAGGTTTAGGGAGACAATTGCTTTTTCACGTTTGATATAGGTTTGGAATAAATATTTATCTTCAATAAATGCAATGATTATTTAAAATCCGTATTTTGTGTTAACTTGTGTTGTCTTGATATTATATAAAATTAGTTGGATGACCTGAAACATTTAAATGTGACAAATTAGGAAAAATAGAAGAGACCGGTGAGGAGCAAATACTTTTTCACAGCACTGTTCTGTGGTCATATATGTAATGTCAGATTAAATTAGACAACACAAGTCATTTCAAAAACAGCAAAAAACCCACACATATTATACATACAATTAGATAAGATGTCATTATATTGGCCTTACAAAGGGATATAAAAACCACTGAAAGTCCTCAAATCCTTGGGCAATGTGCCTACAACTTATTTAAATATCCAATCGCTGACGGAACAAATGGCCTCAGGTATCCATTTGACTTGGCCCTTCTAGGGAAAATGTACCTCCGTCCTGATGACAGGAGACAAAAGTGGGCATGAAAAGGGTGACGAGTGTCCGCCAGAATGGACTCTGCTCTTTTCATGGCTCTAACTTGATAAAGATGGCTAAGATCATTTAAGCTAATGCCAATAAGTTTCTGGCTAAAATTAATGATAGATTTTTTTCCATAGCATTGTAACATTACCCTGTGATAAGGAGAGCTGAAAATAAATGCAGAAATGCCACACAAAAACAAGGCAGTTTTGAAGCAGTCGGCCACTGATACAATCAGGCTGTTGACTTTGCCTCACATTTGTCTGTTCAAGAGTTTTCCAGGAGTCCATTTCATCAACCTAATTCTGACTGCCCTCTGAAACAACTCTAAATTTGGACAATTCCTTAATGAAATCAAAGGAATCAAACCTCAAGTAAAACTGATTTAACTCTTCTGCCAGATGGAATCAGACTCATCAGGGTCCAAATACCATTCTTGTCTTGAATTCCCACTGTAGCTTTAATTCCCCTCTAAGCACAGCAGGAATTACCATTCCTAGGTTTATCTCCTACTTTGTCTTTAAGCAGCATTTTGGCATTTTAATGAACTTTTTCACTAATTTTTGAGCAACTCTTTGTTGGCGAATGGCACCGTGATGGAAAGTTATGTTTTCTGATTGAGAGAATTTTTGAGGGGTATACTGACCCAGGGCATATTGTTTGGCTACAATTTAATCACCTTCTGGGAATATTCACAAAAAGTAATACAACTTGATGCAGTGA